GGACTTTTTATTCGACCTCCGTATACGTTTGAGGTTTGCTATAACCAATAAATATCATTCGAATCAAAATTTGAATACCCATTTTGTTCTCTCAAAAAAAGGGGTTTACTCGTATCAATTTGGAGTGTTTGCACGGAGATAAAGTAGAAGCAATCAAGAAACACTGATTAAAGCCATAAATGGATTTTCTTATTAAAGATTCATTAGACCTATCGATTCATCGATTTTATGCATTAATGACAATCCAGATTGCCAAATTTTTTGCAAAAGATCAAGCTGATGAATTTTAACTGAAGGGATCCGCTCGGATGGAAGAGGTCCCAAGCTCGAATCTGGACAGGACCAGGTTTTTTGAACGGGAAATATTTATGAGTTGATTTTCGGCCTTTTCTTTGCATGCTTATGTTTCGTCGGCTTAGTTGCCACATCATCGATTTTTCTGTTCCATAAGCAGATTGCATTGTAACCTAAAGTGTTTTAAGTTTATTCCTGTATTTGTAAATTTACTGAATCTGTTTTTTTTTGTAAATCCTTTTGTTGTTGTTGGTTGAAAGCTTAGTTTGGTTCAAATGTTTTGGCTGAAGTTTTTTGGCCATTGACTCAATTGTGCGTTGTTCGATTGGTAAATAAGTTTTTCATTTTTTTTGTTTCCAGAAGGTGTAAAAATTTCAGAACTTTTAATGACAAAAGTTTTGCTTCCTGCTCAACGAGAGTTGTCCCAACTTTTGTCTGCAGGGTTGCCGCTCGACATATTTCGTGAAGTTTGATTTCACGCCGGTGGTTGTTTTCTTTTAAAATTGAAACTCATTCCGCGCAAAATTTCGATTTTTTCTAAGTAACTTCATGCTAAGCTTGAGTGACATCGCAATTAGTTCGAAACTCCAGTAGTTCGCTTTGCCTCTGTGTAATAATCTGCATGATACGCTCAGATGTAACATTATTTCTGTTGTTGTTGCTTTTAGCTCTGGGGGGTCGCTTCCGGCATGCTCAAATCAAGCGTCAGAAACGTCGCAAATTTGGTCAGACGAGCCACTAGTCTAGTGGGGTTAATGAAGTGGTGTTCTGGGACAGTTAAAAAGATGAAGAAAGGTATGCGGTAAAGGACAGTACGAGTAGTTTGGGTGGAAGTTGGGGTCAGTTTGGTTGAGGTACATATTCAGGAAGGGGCTGTACTCTCCTCCTAGTAGAACGAGGGAGAGATTCTCCGGTGAGGAAGGTTTCAGGTGCTCCAAAGGGCAGAACTTTTGGGGATGGTGCACCTGTCATGGCCTGCCTAACTCTGAGAGTGCCAATTTGCTTTTGAACAATTAAAAATTGTTGAACATGAAAGAAATTCGTCCAAGAAAATTTTTGATAGGCATAAGAGTATTAATTTATAATACGATAGTGTCATTTTCAGGGCGCGTATAAGTCAAACAACGCAGATATTCCGAGGGGGGTTTGGGATAATGATGATGAAAAAGTAGCGGATTTGATGGAAAAAAAACTTTTGAGGGCGCACTGCGATGACAGTAAATGGCAGTGATCCACATTCAAAGGCCACATTCTGAATGTAAATCGTCCTTTGCGCTCATCTTTTTGCACCCTTAATCACTTGGAAAGCAGCATTTTGAACTGTTTGCAGTGTAGTTAATTAGTTTTATAAGAGAAAGACAAGGCGGAACTTTTAAAAGAACAAACAAAGGATCTTGAGCCAATAATATTTTGTAAAAGGTTGATGAGGCCATTGAAATGATGCAATCTGGTTAAAAGGGCAGAAGTTGCCAGCGAAAAACTGCTTTTTTAGATTGGGGCGATATTGAAGAAATAGCTACGTTAAAAAATCAAAAACTGTTAAATCATTTGAAATTTCAACCGGCCGCGAAGTTTTTCTATCATTTAAATTAAATTGGTGGGTTCATACTACAGACATGCTGCCTTTCAATGTCCAGACCACTTTCCAGAACTTACTGGACGACGTTTGTTATTTAGGTGTCTGGAGAATTTCTCGCCGTTTTTTTTTCTGTCTAGAAGTTGGGGCCATGATCTCTTTGGAGGAGGGAAACGATGCCGGCCAGTGGAAAAATGGTGACGTGCTGCAGCAATTTTAGTGTCCCGAAAGGTACGCTCTGCGGCGTTTACATCGTGCTGCAGTATTTTTTCCCCTAAAGCTCATATTCATTGGTTGGTATAACCTTTCCCGTCTTTAAGTGTAAATAAAACTTTTGCGTGGAGCGAGCGGTGAATCTTTGCTATTGGAAAGGTTATTGGAATTGGTAGATTGTCTGATCCTAATTTTTGGAGGAGGAGGAGGAGGAGGATGCTGACGTGTAACTATCGTATGGAAGCCCAGTTTGATGATGGACATTTTTTGTGGTAAATGTAGATTCAATTAGTTGGCCCCACGTTGGTCTTCAGGGATATTTGAGTTTCAAAGAGGGGTAGGGGCATTAGCGTCAACTAAGACAATGCTGTTTTAATCGGATAAAAGAGCTGTAATGAATGCTTTAAAGTCTTTAAGGGCAGCTAGAGCGGAGAGAGATGTAAAAAATTGTGATACGGACTTTTTGGCTGCTGGCCTTTGTACGCATTGCGCCTCCAAAATTCCGTCTTGCACTGTTTTCAATTCCTCGTATAGAAGGGAGCTATCAATGTCAGTAAAGAGTCCGCCTTCCTCTCGAGTACGGTCCTTATAATATATGCATTTTTTTGCTCCTAGCTAAGGAGTGCGATTTTTCAAGTTTAACATAGTTTCTTGAAGAAATACCGCGATGTGGATTTGGTTTTTCGTTTCAGGTGCTTTCCCAGAGATGCCGTTACAATTTTAATGCAGGATGTTCAGTGAGTTTTCGTGTTTGATTAGAGGGTTCGTTGCACTAGGGGGGTTTGAGTCAAGCCGCAAATTCGGAGTTTTGTTGCTTACAAGGGGACGTGTGATCACTGGGTGGGAATGAGTTGTCAGAGGGGGGTTTGTGAAACGTTGGCGTGTAAGGTTAGTATTGTTAGTCACAAGTGGGAGCAGTATATAGGAATCAGTACAAAAGGGGCAGTGAAAATATTTTGTGCGCTTTGGGCTTTTTAAGACCGCTACTTTTAAAAATCGATCTAACCGCATACGTGGCACCAGACGCTGGCTTGGGTACCTTAGTATTTTGTTTGCAAGGGGAGAAAACATAGGGACCAGGGTTAGGGCTAAAAATTCGGAAAGAGCATGATTTCAGTGCACCCTTGTATGGGGAGGGTAAGGTAGTGACATTTGCGACTGTATAATCATAAATTATGTCTTATTGGTTTGTTGGGTTTGTTGAAATTACCATCCTTTTTGTGGCTTTATCTTTGACCTTTTCGTTTTGGTTTTAGGAATGGTTCATCCAGGGAGATTCTGCAAATTATCATCTGATTCGAATTAGGCAATACATGTTTTTTTTGATTTCGCAGTTGTTACTATTTCTGGTTTGTTCAGTTTACAGAAGAACCTTTTCTTGTTTTTACCCTTGTGATCAGCAAGGGTGTTGCAATTAGGTACTGACTTTTTTTCCTGTAAATAACTTGTTAACTGAATCGTTAACTTTCAAGCAATGGTGAAACTTAAAGGTGAAACTTTCAATGGTGTGAAACACCTACGTTTAATGCACAAACAGGGTTGGTTGATAGTATGCTGTACAATGATGATAATTTGAACTTTTATGCCGAAATGTTTGGACGCTTTTCAGCTTATTGGGTTTCGGCTGTAATTCTGCCTTTTTTTGTTTTAAATTAGTTTCTGACCAAAAATCTATTCACCTTTGACATTATATTTTAGAAAGCTTAAAATCAAGTTCGTCGACCCTCTGTGAAAAAACTTCAAGAATCTTAATTTGCTTGATTTAAAAAAAAATATTTTTAGCCCCTTTCTTTTTTTCTCAATTGAAACTTGTCTCGATACTTCTTGAGTTGAATGCTGAAGTGATTTTATGTCAGATTTTCTGGTGTATTTTTTTGATCCATTTTTTTCGTCAACTGATTTTTCATAACAGTTTAAGTGATCTTAATTTCTCAGCACACATTTTTCTTAAAAGAGTAGCTATTTCAAACATGGAAGGATGCCCTGCTGAATTTGCAAATGTTTTACATGTTTAAAGATTTGTGTATTTTCTCCTATTATTTTTTGTGGCGTGGATTGTTTCTCGGCTGGAAAATTGCCGATTTGTTTGATCTTTATTATCCTCATTGTCGTTTTTTATTTTACTCAGTTTTACTCGTTTGAAGAGAGAAACTATTTTTACTTACGTTTGTGTGCATCGAAGAAAGAGGACATAAAACTTGGAATGTCAAAAATCATTGTTGCATTGAAGTTTTTTCCGGGCTTAACGGCACCCATGTTTGTCTTCGTTCGAATGGCGAACATAAATTTTAATGCTCGTGTACGTTAATTTCAGGTTGACTTAAAACCTCGAATGCCAAATTTTTCAGCTCTAGTTTTTTTGCGTTTTTTTTTACTCAACGATCATATACCCGACTGTCATTGGCTTAATTAACACTTTGTTAATTTTGTTTTGAAGTACTAATTGAATGATGGCAAGTGTTTTATGGGCGTTTTCTCTCAAGTTGAACCGCATTGGAGACAAGTAGAAAAAATGTTCGATGATTTTAAAGACTATGTTTTCCTCCATTCAGTGGCCTTCGCAGTATTGTTTTGTGTTGTATCGCAGGTGATGAGCAGCTCCGCTTCACCTCCGTATTCGTTTTTTTTTGAATTAATAGCATTCGTCCAATTTTTTTGCCGGCTAGCTGCAGTGCTATTTTTTTGGTATTTTTTAGTGCTATCTGCAAATGTAGTTCTTATCGTAACATTCTGCTCAGCAGCGATCCAAACGTGTTTTTTGTTCGTTTGATTTTTTTACGAAAAGAATTCTCGTTATATTTCCCATTGCAATCGTGTAGTGAAGAGGCTAAGCTCTCTTCCGCCTCTCTGTTTATATGGTTTTAACTTTTCAAAAACCAGTAAGTGTTAGTACAGTGAATCAATCTATTTTTAGATTTGCCTGTTTATCTAGCAGAGTTTGATTCGTCTTGCCATTGAAAGAAATAGAAATTAGTAGTCGAAATGCCTTCAAACGCCATCTCAAGAACTGTTTAGTTTGGAGTTAGATCGTAAATCTGCTGAGCAAAGTTGCGCTAGAAAGGGTTATTGGCTGTTTTAAACTGATGGCTTTCTTCCCTATTAATACTACAAACTCGACAGTGCCTCCCGCGCCTGATAACAGGAGCAACCCGACATTATCCACAGCCAACCAAAATGGTATGTCTGAGCTTACGTCATCTGAAGGTACTTCTCCGAGACCGCGAAATGAAAGTTCCAGAAATCAGTCGCAAGGCGGTGGAGGTGGAGTTAAACCTTTGGAGTTCAAAGCGGCAATGCACGATTTTGGAGTCATGTTTCCCACTTTGGATCCAGAAACGATTGAGACTGTCCTAAGATCAAACAATGGAGCAGTGGATGCAACGATAGACCAATTGCTAGAAATGTGTGACTCTTTTGGCGTTGAGAAGTCTACTAGAGGAACAAAATCGTCATCACAAACCAGAAACAGAACCCAAAACAACCAGCCGAACCCCAATTCACTAGCGGTTGATAATGTGGATTCGTACAACATGCATTTAGCGTCAGTTACACCACCGAAAAATCCAGAAAGTGTCTTGACTGATTCTAATATGTACGCAAATTTACCTTTTCAAGAGTCAAAACCGGCGATTGAGACAAACGAATCAAGTGTAGCAACAAGCTACAGATACCAGACAGCCCTGTATAAGTTCAACAATCCTTTTTTGGGTCCGCTTCCCGATGATTTTCTGAGAATCATGAATGATGCGACTTTCGACCGAGACATGAAGTACTCACACGAGAGAAGGAAGCAAGTTGACGACATCAAAAATGAGAGGCTTAAACCAACTCATTACATCAGTGACGGTAAATTCAACCCTGAAAACGATTTTGGGCGTGTGATCGCTCCTGCTCCGTCTGCTGATATAGGATCTGCTGCTAGTGCATGGAGTGAACCGGATCGTCGAGTGGAGCCGCCTTCTAATCCACCAACAATGAATCCTGCCACTGGTATACTATCTGATCTAAAAGCCTGGCATTATGCTACTTTTTCTCCTATTAATTCATTCACAGATCTTACCCCCCTCCCCACTTGATAAAATATGTACATTTTCAAGTGAATTGTAATCGAAAATTGACTTTTTTGCCCTCTAAGCAAATTTTGCTACAAAAATATAGAAAAGTAGACTTGATTTAGTATGCGACCTCAAAAACTTCCTGCAATTTTCCCACTCGGTCTCAGTATAATGCTAAAGCGCGTGCTTTTGAACCTTTGCGCCTGGGGTACGAATTCCGGTTGGACATAGTTTTTTTTCGATTTGTGTGAAATGAAATTGTTTTCTTGTGTGAAAAATTTCGATTTGTTGACCGTTTTTTTGAAACTTTTTGACTTTTCTCGAAAACTATCCTCCCAAATTTGAAGTTTTGGTTCCAATTAGTAAAACGAGAAGCTCCGCTGCATAAGTGGTTACGCCTTAATCTTTTTACACAAGATGTTAAGATCCTCGGAAAAGTAAAATTTTTGATTTTTTGACCGTTTTTTGAAAATTTTTTGAGTTTCTCGCTAACTACCCACACAAATCTAATGACCAACGTTTTTAGAGTCTTTCAACCTTAGAAGCTCTGGTTATCACTTCATTATTTAACAAAACTGAACTAAATGATGATTTTAACAGATTTTGAAGTCATTAAATTGGGATTTACTTCTCTTGCAATGAAATTAAATTCAAGCCTAAATGAGTCAACTGCTAGTTTTTTCGAGGTCTTTTTACTGGCCGCTAAAAATATATTGGTATACTTCCTTTTTTGAAGCTCCCTGCATATGCAGGTAAGCACAGATGTTTTTCCACAAAAGTAATGCCCTCGGGAAAAATAAGTTTTGATTTTTTGACCGTTTTTTGAAATTTCTCTCGATTTTCTCGAAGGTTAGCGTGCCAATTCGATTTCAAAAAATTCACTCCTGGTTATTTTATTAGAGAAACAACTAAGGTTTTTGGGTGAAGCCCAGTTTTCGAAATAACAGTTTTCGAAATTACCTAGTTTTCGAAATTACAGTTGTTTCCATCTTTAGCTGTCCTCTAGTTTTAATTGCATTTGCGCTAGAGCTTCTTGTAATAGGAAACTATACGTTTTTTCCAGTATAAGTAATTTTTCTTACAAATTTTTTAATAGTCGAAGTTCCTTTATATTCGAGTTTCGACCGGATCTTGTTTTTTTTCAGTTAGTATGAAATTGTATTATTGCAGATTGTAAGTTTATTTTACAGGAAAAATCTAATTGCCGGACTTTCGTTTGCCTGCTTGATGTTTCGTCGGCCAATTTGAGACATCACGAATTTTTCTTCAGATTTAAGAAGTTTTCATTGTAGTTGCAATTGTTGTTAATTTAATCCTGTTGTTGGTGAATTTACTAGCCTTGACTTCGTATATTTTCCTTTTGTTTTTTCTTCGCTTTGAAGCTTCCTTCTGCTTGAATGGTTTTGGTTTATAACTTAATTCGTGTCCCTTGAAGGGCAAGATTTGAGTTTTGTTTAAAAAAGCAATCAAATATGCGTTGTCGTTAGTGTTGTAAAGTGTTAAAGTTAATAGGACAACAATATTATATGGGGTTTTGTGTTGTCTACCCACGTATTGTCGGCTTATTGACAGCTCTGTAAAAACTAACCGCTTTTTCGATGCTGTTCATTGTGTTTTTGACTCTTTCAGATTTTTTTTCATTTTGTTATTCTCATTTTTTATTCGCTAGCTTGCAATGCTGCGCTTGCGTTATATATCAAGTGAAGCTAAGCTTTGCCTCTGTGATAATTTTGTTTTCGGGTTAACGATTACAACCCAAGTTTTGCCGGCTAAGTGGACGCTCCGTATATGAAATTGAGTCTTTATTTAAGGCATTGTTTTTCTTGTCTGGTTTTCCGAAATTGAACATCTTATCAGTCTTGTAGATATCTTTTAAAAATACGTACTTTTGTTTGTGGGTTTCAGCCTCATTTTCTAATCACTAGCTTGCAATGCTATGCTTGTGTTGTATAGCAAGTATTGTGAAGCTACGCTTCGCCTCTGTGTTGGAAAGTGATATCTAACATCTCACCAAAGATATCTTGCGACGTGGTCCCCAAAAATTATGAAAAGGAATGATATAGTATAATGTTTAGGGGCGATTCCGAAAAATTACAACAAAAGCTGGTCTGGAACTGCACGCAACACGATTTCCACCTTTGGAAAGAAACTAACTTCACGCAACACTTCAGCCGCATCTTCTACTCTTGGTGCTAACCCCTCCCACCCCCACCCCCAGACAAATCTAGGAAAGAACAAGGGGGTTACTCCTTCAACTATGAACCTCCTGGCGGATTCCGATGAAGAAGACGAGGACCCGAATGGTCCGCAGGATGATGACCTCTTGACCTCACTAGGTATGTCGGGGTCAAATTCTGGTGGCGTGGGAACTGTTTTTGAAAACAGTGACGAAGACGATAAAGACGATAATAACTGGAGCTCTCAAATGAGTCATCAAACTTCGACAGCAGGAAGAGGCTGGTCTCTTTCGGCTTCCAAATTCAATGGGAGCAGTCGACCTTCCCCAAACAGATCTTCAATCAATTAATATTTAAGTTGCCAGATCTAAAATTGATTAATGATAGATTTATTATATATTCGGAACTACTGAGAATCGAATTAGCCGTTTGAATTTGGAAAATTGGAATTTTCTATCGATGTTGTTCGATTTCTTTTCAGTCTTTTACATTTTTTCAATCATCTGTTGGCTTCTTTTTTATTGATCGAAGTTGATCAAGAATTTTTTTATGAGCCACATATTTAATGATAGAGATCTGTTATACCCACGGACAAGTGTGTCGAATTGTGGTAGGATATGAGATATAATAAACTAATGGTTCGCGTAAGAAATAAGAAGAGGTTTTTGACCAACTTGACTTCATTCGTCTGATTTGAGAGAAACTCATAATTCAGAGAGAAACAGAAACTCATAATAACTATTACATACGGCTTTAGTTTAATAAGTACGTGTACATAATCATCACACTTCTATAAGTTAGGTAAAGATAACTGCAATATGGTTATATAGCATCTATAATAATCTAAATAATTGTTTCCTGTTTTAGTTTGTGTTGACAAACTTCCTGTTTTAGTTTTTGTATTAGTTTGTATTACAATGGATATCCGTACGGATAACACTCTCCCTTTTTTGAATTTGATGGAACATCATTTTTTTTCTCTGCTGTTTTGTCCTCGGTGGATGTTGCATCTTGTTCTTCTTGTATCGTGGTATTTGACTCGTTGTTTAATTTCGTCCCCGGTGTCTCGTTCGTTCCAAGTTCAGGTCTTTGCTGTTGTTTTGTCGGTGACTTATTAAGGCTTTGTCTTTCTGAGCAATACTTCTGGAATGTCATTGAGATATTGATTGGCGAAATTTAATGCAGTCTGCTCATCGCGGAATCGAAATTTTAGAAGAAATTGGCATCTGGGTAACTATTTTTGTAGTCGTATCTCGAGCTGATTGCTTTTTGTGGTGAATTTTGCGATTCCGGCTAATTTTTCTTCAGTGCGGTTGTTTCTGTGGGCGTATGAGTTTTGATGCTGATTCGCGTATCTATTGTATTCGCTGTTTCTTCTGATCGGATGTTTTCCGAGTTCTGATATCCATCTGCGTTTCTGTGCATGCACTCAATGTCTGTTGAGTCATCTCGTATCCCCTGGTTTTTCTCCTGTAGCGAAATTGTCATTTAGGTAGGTTGCGGTAATAATCATAACTTGGCAGGTTGCGTTTTTTGAATCTGGGTCGTTGTCAGTAATTTGCTTGATTGGAATAGCATTCCCGTATTCTGTCCCCAGCATACTTGAGCGCACTCTGGAAGACCGTCGGCATTCCTGTAGTTTTTCATCTGGGGTACGTTTCGAAACCACCTTTTTGGCAGCTGGTTTCGTCGATGACGGCGTCTTACTATTGAGGTCAGAGACTGAGGACTGAGAAATTGACCTATCGCAGTCAACCTCTATATTTGCCAAGTCTTCGTTTTTCTTCTTCTGCGGGCTTCCTTTACCCGTTGGTTTGATTTGAGTTTTTTGGCTTCCTTTTTTCTTCTTCTTTTTGTTTAGTTGCGTCTTTTGGTTTTGTCATGAATGGTTCGAAGGGTTTTTGGTGGCCCAGTGCTTGCCTGTTCATAAATTGCTATATGACCACTTCAATGTTTTTCGGGAGTTGTTGCTTAGGGCTGGTTTTCGTCGCTTTTTGTAGGTTGCTTGTGGCCTTGTTTGCCGGATGCCGTCCGGATATTGTTTGTCCCGGTTTTTGTTTCTCATTTGAGACTGAAATGCGCAGTTTAGCTCCAGGTAACTGCATATAGGAGACAAGATTTTTAAAACGGCCGGTCTACTTTTTTTGTAAACTCGCGGATCCAGAAGGAAGGCTCGGTATATTAAGTCCAATTCATCCTATATGCTGGTGTTTATGCTGGTGAATCAGCATCATGTTTGTACGAGAAGTTGCTGATTTTTTCAGCAATTTCTCGTCCAAACATGAGAGTTTTTCTCAACAAAGGTTCGATGATAAACGAGAGATCATAAGTTACTTAATAGAGGGTTCGTTTTAATGTCCATAGTGTGCCTCAATTGGTGTAATTTTTGTTACGCATTTGGTGTTATCCTTAACGTTTTGATCAGCTCTATCGCTTCCGGTGCTAATTTGCACGGTTGGTTTATTTGATAAGTTTTCATTGTTGATAGTCTAGATTTAAGAGTTCTGATTAGGCTTTCTAACATGCCCATTGTTCGATAGTCGTCGATTGGAGCAAAAATCAATTTTATGTTGTTGCTTTTACAGTAGACCATAACATTTTTATCTGGATAACCTTAGGCTTGGTCACAACGAATATGTCGCGAGACCCATGATCATTGACCATGAGTTTACTAAAATGTTGTATTGTTTTCAGCTCTATTTTTGTCCCAATTTTAGCCGATGAGAATTTAAAGAATCGTTCAACCATTACAAGTATACATGCTTTTTTGTCATTTTCGTCCAAAAGAGGACCTGCGAGCTCTAATTGGATTTCCTCGTTTGGCTGGACTACGGCATCCAGTGCTGTTTAGTGCTTTTTGCCCGATATAACTTTTAGGTTCTCCTTTTTCCGGCTGTCGTATCATTTTTGGGCAGTAGCGACGATATTCCCGTGTCGCAGCTTCCAGCATTCGGCCTTGTCATAGATGGTAAGGTGCATGGAGTCGATGATGATCTGCGGTAGTTGTTGCGACATGACCGCTGGCTCATCATACAGGAGTGTGGTATCCTTCTGTGGTATAAACTGTCCCTCACACTGTAAAAATATGGACTGTAGCGCGCCTTGACTGTATCTCATTTTTGTGAGCGGACAATGTTCAGTGATGGCCGTAAATTTGTCCCTTTTTGTGGCGCCTGCAATGAATCTGTCATCAAGAACCTTTGTTTAGTTTTTCTTGTAATTCTCCTCTTCAACGGTAAACGCTTGGCATTCACTGTTTTCCGTCGTGATCCCCATTCTTTGGCTTATTATTTTTTTTAGCCGTCTGGAAGAAGTGTAGCTCTGCTCTGATGGTATCAGTTAATACGATAAGTAGTTGAATGTGAGGTCTTTCGGTGGTGACTGTGGGTAGTAATCATTGAAAGACGCATTATTGATGGGCGGAAAGTTTTTTTTGAGTGCCTTGTAGATTCTAAAGAGGGGAACAACAGCGGTTCGCCGTGATGAGCTGTACAGCTCTTGTGTTGGTCCTTTCCCCCGTCGATAAATGGTCTTAAAAACCGACAAAACCATTAAAATCATTTTTCGCATTAAGAAGCATTAAGATTTTTCGCATTTGTTGTATCGTCCGGGTGATCCCACCCTGGGATTACATTGCCTGATTGTAGATAGTTGACACAGGCTATCAATTTTGTATCGTGCAGCGATTGTTCTTGATGTTGCCCGTTGTGTATGGCATTCACTTCTGTGGATCTGCACAATTTTGCAAAATGACCTTTGCTGGACATTTGCTGTAGGTGCTCTGGTCGCAAGTGATTTCCGCACTTGAAATATGGTTGCTTCTGCTCAGGCACTTGTCGCTGAAATCCTCCTTTTGGTGGAAATCTCGTCTTCGTCCGCCTCGCTGATTATATCTGTTGTTGCTGCCTCGTTTTTGGATAAATCTGACCGGTTTCGTTTTGTTTTCTGGTAAAAAAACATTATATCCGTCAAATTTTACATCATGAGGCTTGACGATTGACGTTGTTAGTCGAGTTCAAACAAAAATGTCTGGTTGAGTTCTTAGATTTTCAGGTCTGGGCAGTATTTTGTAAGGCGTCTTTGCCTTCTGTTCCCAAGCATTGGTATCTTCTGACTTTATATCGGCGTCTGCCCCTCTTTTCCTCTGACTAGTCTCTAGGATGTTGCGTTGATTTTATTACCTTAATGACAACGACAACACCGAGAATCGAACAGCTCATGCCACGAATCCGTGTATTGGACTCGTTTTTATCGCCTAAACTTTTTGTCTCTCTCGTGGAAAGGAGATCTGGCAAAATTTCAATAAAAAGACGATGAGATGGCATGACCTAAAGTAACTTCGCAAATCAACCGCAACCACCAGAAGGGTAATAATATTTTTTCTTAACTGTTAGAAACAATAAATTTTTTCTTTGAGTCAATGAATTGCTAATTTCGCTAGTTCTGATTAAAGCTTAAGATTTTTGACACAATATTTTAACTGTTGCTTATGATAGCCATTTTTTGGCCGTCGTTCTGATTCTGTCAGATTCTTTGAGCTCCAACATCAGCTTTCTGACCCATCTGTGCTCCATGGCCTCCGATATGTCATGGGCTACCGGAGCGTACATCAGAATCGATCCGAAGCGTACATCAGAACTTTGAATTGAAGAAGATCCGAGAGTAATTGAACCTCTCCATCTAGTCCCTCGACTAGGACCCACGAAAAAATATTTATCCTCTGTTGAGGTAGAGCGAATCAGGCTCCTGCTAACCATAGCAGATTCGTTCAAATTGGATTCTTATCCGGTCAATTTCCACTTGAGGAAGAAGAACCGATGAGTGTAGACTCCCCTTCTTACTTCTCGGAGACAAACTCGCAGAAAAACTCGATAGTTGAAGAGATGCTCTAAAAATTAAAGAACATCATTAAATACACTTTTTTTGATATTTTTCGTTCATTCTGATACTGCTTTGTCTTAGTGATCGTGTTTCCGGATGAGGATTTTGGAAGTTAGTTATTTTTGAACCGACTTTGTGTTTGTTAATTCCTTTCACTTTGCAAATGATAGGATGCTCTCCACTGAAAATGACTCAATCCGAATAGCATCCTTCGTTGGCATTCATCCCTACTTGTAACATAGTGCTAAACACCTATGTTAATTAATCTCGCTAAATTACCTAGGAGTGAATAAGACGCTTAATAGAATAAATTGTAAACTCATACTATGCCAATGACGAAATGTTAAAGTATATTTGCTCAAAGTAAACAATAATGAGATCATTAGATCAGTAATAAAAAGAGTCAGTAATACTCAGTGACTCTAAACAATTGAACTTTCAAACTTCCTTTAATCAATCTAAGGAAGAAGAAGGTAGCCATCACAAAGCGCATTCCTGAGTTGAGGATTCGAAAGCCTAGACCGCACATCCATAACGACAT